TCAGGGGAGAGGCTTTGCAACTTCTGCCCTGTCAAAGTTGGCATGTGCCAGCCAGCCCCGGTGCCCCCTCCCCTCTGGCTCTCTCTTCTGGCAGATCTGACACCAGAGCTCTGAACCCCCGCCACTAGGGGCCCATTTCAGGCGCTCTCCGTGTCTCCGAAGAGCCTTATCACTAGGCTTAAGGTGTCGAGGGATCTCCCGCCGCCCACCCAACACTCACACGTGATGCACACACAGCGCTGAAGAGGAGAAGGGCTCAGTACAATTCTGCAAGGAAACCATCTCTACAAATTACCTGTTTAAGTATCTGGGTTCTTTTATGCCCTTGCGGTGGGTGAGGATGAAAGAAGGAACAGGTTTTGGAATGAGGCCAGGCATGAAGACACCTGGAGCCGGGAGGCCGGCCACCTGCACGAGTTCCCATCTTGTGATGCTGCTTCTCATTGGATGCTAACGTCCTCCTTTCTGGCTGGGCCCGGTTTACTACACGTAGCCCAGGCTTGGCCTGGTGCCCACCCAGGTAAGTGTGAGGTCCTCCTTATAGCAACCCAATGCCTAGCGTGAGAGGAAGGGCTAGCCTGGAAAGGCAAGGGGGAGGTGGTCAGCCTGCTAGGAATGGTTGAGCAGGTTGTGCACTGCAAAACTCCAGGAGGCGTCATTCACCCCACAGTCCAGGAGGACCCATGAGCCTGAAGGCTACCTGAGGTGACCAGGAGCGTGTGAGCTAAGCCAGAGGGACTAAGGATGCAGAGGAGGGACAGATGTGACAGGTAGTAGGAGAAAGAGCTTCCAGGGTCAGTGGCTTGATTGAAGGAGGGGTGGGGCGTGGAGGAGGCTTCTGGGTGGGTGACAGTGTGACTCACCTAGATGGAAGTCAGGAGAACGCATGGGGAGGGTGGGGAGAAAGTGTGCAGGGAGGGGCCTAAGGCCAAGGCCTCTCTGGGACCCCTCTGAAAGAGGTTGGGAGGTGACTGGTCTGAAGCGCAGGAGCAAGTCTGGGCTGGAAAAAGTGCTCTGGGCATCACCAGTGTGTATTTGGAACTGGAAACAGGCCCAGATTAGGTCACCCGAGAGCATGTAGAACTGGATTCTCAACTTCGGTGGGAGCAGGCTGGGGCGTGGGGGCCATTTTTAGTCTTTTCCTAAGAGGGCAGAATTCAATAGCACTGCTCAACACAGTTGTGGGGTGGGGGCGGGGGGCGGGGGCAGGCCAGAAGGTGGGCAGGGCAGTGTCTGGGGAAAGGCAAAGCCGCTGAGCTAGGATGTGGCGTGGCCCGGCACGGTGGAGGAACCACTTCTGACTTTTTGACGAATGCGCCTGTGAGCATGTGTCCTAACAGTGTCTGGGGCTGGGGGAGACCAGCTGACCGCAGCCGGCTTTCCTGGGCCACCTGCCTTTACCGGTGAGAGAGCTTTTTACACGAATCAGATTGAGGGTTGGGTGGGTAGTATAATGTAAAGTCGGGCACCAGTTGTGCTCGTTCTATTTTGGTCTTTGCAAAGGTATCCGGAGTATCTGAACCAAAGACCAGATTGGCTGTCGTTCTGTTCCATGAACGCTGTGGTAGTCTGTCTCTACTGAAAGCAGGCCGGCAGGAGTGTTTGTAGATTCCCCGGCTGAGTCAGTTCCATGCCACTTGGAAGCCTGGCCCACGAGCACCTCCGTCTGCCTGCACTGCCTTTGATCAGACTCTGCAAATCCTGATGTCGCGCTAGGCTAGAACTGGACAAGATCTCGTTCTAGAGCAGAGACGGCCAACCCACAGGCATCCAGTAACTTGCCCGACTCAAAGCTAATAAGCAGCCGAGATAGAATGAGGACTCCCAGTTCCTGGTTTTTCTTTTTCTTTTTGTGCAAAGACCTATATGTTGAGCTGGGAAATTAGCACAGTATTTATTGGCTTGTGTGGTCCAGGAAGAAGCCTGGAGCTCATTGTGGGCAGGATTAAAGACATAAGCAAAGTGAACCTTGCCCCCAACTCAAATGTTGCCTTTAAGAGTATTGAAAAGGATAGTTTGGGAGAGGGCATAGTTTTCTCCATGATATTAACCTAAAAGCCCAGTAGATCACATTTATAATTATATCCAAACCGCTTATCACAAGGGTAAACCTTTTGGAATTTTGCTACCATCGTATAAGGTGTGGGTGTGTGCGGTTTGGGATAATTAACAGTAAGAGGCAGTAACAGGGAAGCATAGTAGAAGTAGTACTGAGATCTGGGATTTTAACCCAAAGACACACGCTAAAGCTGCGCAGAAGAGAAGACAGTCTCGGGCAGGGCGGTGGGATTCTTCCAACCCTGTCGGTGACAGGTACGTAATAAAACCCTTTCTATAATCTCTCACGGGAGGTTTAAAGCATGAGAGCCATCCTTCTTCTAAGTTAAGACGTTCCATTTTAAAGAGAGTAATGCTTTTCACATAAAGACTGGTAAGAACAAGGATGCCTTAGATGTGGGCGGGAGGGGGTTTCAGGCTCTGGCCCTCTTCGTTTCCTGATGCCCATCTATGGTGGGTATCCCCATTCGAGAAGCTGAGTACTTCAGAGAAGTACTTTCACTATTACTGCAATAATGGGAAGTAAAAATTCATTAAAAAAAATTTTTTTTTCAACGTTTATTTATTTTTGGGACAGAGAGAGACAGAGCATGAATGGGGGAGGGGTAGAGAGACTGGGAGACACAGAATCGGAAACAGGCTCCAGGCTCTGAGCCATCAGCCCAGAGCCTGACATGGGGCTCGAACTCACGGACTGCGAGATCGTGACCTGGCTGAAGTCGGACACTTAACTGACTGCGCCACCCAGGCACCCCAAAAATTCATTTTAATATAGAATACAATTTGAAGCAATAGGTCATATTTAAATAAGGGATTTTAAAGAAATATGCCAGTGGTTACAGATTTTAGCTACCGGGGTGAAGGGCAAAATTTTAATGCCTCGTGTACAACAGAAAAGGGAAATGTAGTTAGAATTAGGAAATCATGTAATTTGGGAGCTATAAACAGACTGATGGTTCCAATAAGAAAATCAAGAAACGAAAAGCAATCTCAGTCACATGCCAACTTTAAGCTTTACTTAAAGTAAAATTAGAGTATGAAAACTATTTGACAATACGTGAGCATAAATTCTGCCCTCCCGAAAATAACCAAAAAAGAAAAGCATATGTAAATGCCCTTAACAAAAAGTTATGTCCGTGAAATACACATATAGCCATTGTTCAAGGGCAATGTGTATTTTATATTGACCTCTGCGGTCAGTTTTAATCAAAGGCTACACGGATATTTTGATGTGATCGGTTTCAATTAAACCCACAATTTTGATGTGAAATCGAAAAGCTGGTAAACTGGAAGCCACAGCACATGTGCAGTGACTCCCAGGAGACCTCATTTTGTTAAAAAAAATCCGGGATCACTGCGAACATTGAGATCTGAAAGGAAAAAGGAGGTAATTTTATCCTTTCCTTGCAGGATCCTGTACCGGGGTTCTAAATCCTAGATCATACACCGAGTATTGGCCCTAGAAGGAGCCTTAGCAGTGATGGCCCAAGCCTCTACTGTGCAGGCGATGAGTGTGAGGCCAGAAAGGGGTGAGTGATGTAGAAGGTCGTGCCATTTAAGCTGTCCTTCAACGAATGAGCACAGCCTTGTGAGTCTGGAACAGAACTCATGGGTGGCTCTGGCAAGGTTTCCGAAGTTCTCCGACTAGCTCCTTGGTCATTTCAGCTTTCGATATCTGCCCTCTCCGTACATCACTAAGCAAACCAAACACATCACAAGTTGCTGTGGATTCGCCTCTACAAGCGTGAATGTGGCACTGCTAGGGGAACGTGCCTGCTTTGTGGCAGCTGGTCCTGGCTGCGGTTGCTGGGCGACGTGTAGACGTGTACCTGGTGCCTCCTTTGTTCGACCAGGGTGGTCTGCACTTCACCTTCATAGCAGATCCATCCAGAGTGTGAGTCCCCTATGCTTGTGGCCCCATGCTTCAGGGAACAGAGTCCACCTGGCCGTGATGTGTCCCAGCTCCAAATGCACCATTTCTTGTCCCCGATTCATGGCTGTAGAACGTCTGCTTCTCAACTTTATGGTGCCAATCAATCTCCATATGCCACTGAATTTCCATGAAGACAGACAGTGAATGATATCATCTTAAGCTGGTCTGTCTCCAGCTTTCCTTAACCTGAGGAAACCACTTCCACTTCTGGACACAGGAAGGGGTAGGAACCTCTTGTGAGGTTTTGTTTTGTTTTGTTTTGTTTTAATTTAAGAAAGAAAGTGCAAGGAAGGGAGAGAGGCAGAGAGAGAGAGAGAGAGAGAGAGAGAGAGAGAGACTCCCAAGCAGGATCCACACTCAGCACAGAGCCCGATGCAGGGCTCAATCCAATGACCCTGAGATCATGACCTGAGCCGAAATCAAGAGTCAGATGCCCAACCAAATGAGCCGCCCAAGCGCCCCTCTTCTGCATTTCTGTTTACATGCACGGACTGTGGAAGCTCATGGTGCACTTAAGCTTTGTAACCTAACTCAAAAAGAGGTGCAGTATAAGAAATGTGCTGAATCTATGTGTAGCCAACTGCCATCTACACAAGCACATAGATCTTACACAGACTTGGAGACCTGGCCGATTATAAATGAAGCAGGGAAAAAATCTTTCAGAACCAGTAGGACTCGGCAAAGAATGACTTAAAAAAAAAAGAATGCTCAGGGGGCGCCAGGGTGGCTCAGTCAGTTGAGCAGCCGGCTTCGGCTCGGGTCCTGATCTCACAGTTCGTGGGTTCAAGTCCCACGTCAGGCTTTGTGCTGACAGCTCAGAGCCTGGAGCCTGCTTCAGATTCTGGGCCTCCTTCTCTCTCTGCCCCTCCCCTGGCTCACACTCTGTGTCTGTCTCTCAATAATAAGCATTAAAAAAAAAAAGAATGATGACTTAGGAGTTCCACCTTTGGTGCTCTGCTTAGCAGAGGCTAACAGTTCGAACTTTCCCTTTTGAGAAGAAAGTCAGCTCAGAACAAGCTCTCACCATCTCTTCTCCATCATTTTTCTCTTTTGAGATCAACACACAAACACACACACACACCCCTCTTTTCTGACCTCTGAGCGGAGTTTGGGGTTATTTTGATTACATAATAAAATTCCGCTCATTTTGAACATTGGCGTAGTTCGCTTCAGAGGTGTAGCCTTCGAAAGGGCAGGGCCTTTTCGTACATTCGTCTTCAGATTGCTTCTACATCCTGTTTCACATGTGGTTACATCAGCTGATGAGTCATGTGATGTTTTGCTATTTCAAATGACAGAAATAGAGGCTCAACCACACAGAGGGAGCCTTTCGAATGTTTACCAAACATGTGGCTCAAAAACATGCTTTTCTCTGGTTCAGACGCTTTTTATGAAAGAGGTGTGTGAGGCTGTGCGTGAGGACAGCTGTCTACGGAAGGCAGGTGGGATCGACGGGTTTCATGGACTTGGCTGCAACGCACAGGTCTCAACACTACAAACTGCCCTGTCTCATAAAGCCCTGCCCATCGCAATGTTGGTTACAAAAAAGTGGCAGGACTTAGAACATAAAAGGCCCCTTTTTCTGGTCTGTCCGTCACTTTGAAAGCTTCATCATAAGTTCAGGGGTCAGCTGACCTGCAGAATAAGAGGCCAGAAGCTGTGGCTGGTTGAAACACAGCTGAAGTAGCAATTTTAAACATTTTATATTAGAGCGCGCGAGTGGGGGAGAGGGGCAGAGGGAGAGAGAGAGAATCTCAAGCAGGTTCCATGCTCAGCGTGGAGCCCGACGCGGGGCTTGATCCCACGATCCTGGGATCGTGACCTGAGCCGAAATCAAGAGTCAGACAACCTAACAGAGCCACCCAGGCGCCCCTGAAGTGGAAAGATTTTTTAAATAACGGGAACATATTTCTCAAGATAATGTCACTTAAGTACAACAGCATAAATACTTCCTATTTTGCAACACTGGTTCTTGGTCTCTCCCACTTCAGTCTGAATTAAGGAAAACAACTCTAGTCAGAGAACTACTGAGTCTTTAAATTGTTTTGTTTCTAGAAACTAAGAGCACATACCGAAGCTTTACTTGGCCAATCTGATACATCCTGAACCAGCGTGGAAGCTACTCTTTCTGACGGAATCAGCCACCCGGGGACATTTCCAAAGCCAAACCACCCGCCAGGGCTAACACACAAACAAGACGAGCCCAACACAGGCAGCGAGGGGCCGGGCCCCGGCTTGCACCCAGTGATGTCAAGCAATAGCCTCTCGTGCCCAAATTAAGAATCCCAAACAGGTGAGGGGTTCTGGCCACTGAGCAGACCTGTCAGCACATCCTGAGCCTCACGGCCGACAGGTCCAACCCTATCATGACCTCCCCGGAGCCAGCCTCACCTGGTCCTTGGTGCTCAGTTCCTGGGCATCTGATGTCCAGTGCCACCAAGCTCCAAGCGGAACAGAGCACACGACACCTGCATTTTAGAATGACCCGGCATATGACCCTCAAAAAAGCAGGGAGGCCACAAAAGGAGCTGCTCTGACCTGGGTTTGCACAGAGAAAACCCTCAGTATAAAAAGACTGCACTGAGCTGCCCTAACTCACTTCTCAGCATTCACGTTAAAAAAGGCTTTAGATTGTATGTTTTCTACAAGTCACCCAACACGGAGAAAGTCACGGCAGGTCTTTTCATGGTCCTCGACATGGGACGTGGGCACCACACCCTTCTATAGATGTCAGCTGAGCAACTTGCAATAAAAAAGAAACCTGCGTTGGGGAACTCTTTTTTGGATGGCAGAGTCAAATGTGTGCCCCTCCTTACTCTAAAAAGCAGGAAGGAGAAGTGTCTTCTCCTTTCTGGTTTGACCACCTTTCCTGTCTCTGTGGGTCAGCACAGAGCCAGGAAGCTGCAAGCATCAGGGTTTGCCTTACAAGTTTAAGTGCGTGTGTTAGGCCGCGAATTAAGCAGCCCGAGTGAAGGAACCATGTGAGGGATGGTGTGCTTCCAGACAGCAGTTTTTGGACACATCTTGCACAATCTCTGTCATTGTGGTCTGGGTTTGGGGCATCATCCCGTGTTCTCTGAGATGGAAATGGCCCATTTATGGCCGTGAATGTTCATCACCGACGAAATCTCTAAAGTTCTAAATGACACGTTTAGGTGCTTAACGAAGGGTCTCTAGCTGATCTTTCCCCGACTTAGAAGAGGTGGCTTTTTCAATTTGATTTTTAAGCTCCAGGCCCACAAGCATGAAATAGTCACACGTGTTAAAAAATACTGCTGTTTAATTTTCTAGTCACGTACTTTTAAAAAGCTGATACAATTAGACGTTTCCCCCGTCTTCTCAGATCTGCCCCTGAAACCACCCAAAGGCTGTGCATCTTAATTTCCAGCACTCATATATATGGAGGAAAAGTCGCTCGGGGGAAGCACATGAAGATTTGTCCCCATGGTGGGCACACCCAAGGGTCACTTGTCCAGAAACGTGAATGCAACCCTGCGATGGTCATGGCTGACTTGCCCTTACATTTTTTTTTTTTTTTTTTTTTTTTTAATGAGGAACAATATGATTACACAGCACTGAAAACAATAAACACAAAAGGCTCACCTTTTTCCTTTTTTGCCCTTCCGGCAAAGTATTCCATTCCCACTGTTGTCTATGCCAGCTGATCCCAGTTACACCCGTCACCCACCCAGAATTAAAAATAGTTCTCTTGTCATCTACTGATCCTCACATTTATATACAAGTGACTCTGTAAAACTGTAAGAAGATACAATACAATACGTTTCAACTGCAGGTACGTGGAGCACACAAGCAATCACCGTATTGTATTAGAGACGTTTTATTGAAAATGCGAAAATAGGAAATGTATTATAGCCTAAAATAAATTACATAACATATACAGTATATATTTATATCTTTAAAATATTTTTGTGTTTAGGTTCTTTCAGTCTAGAATTTTGACTAAATCAAGAATTTAGTGAACTGTGTCCATAATTTTTTAAAGAAAAAACCCGCTTTCCAAAACTTAGAAAAATATACTGCACTGAATGGATTTCAAATGTGTCATTTCAGGGAGTATCACATAGTGACTTTGCTATCGTTTATAAAATGTTTTATCGTGTGGCGTGAAATTACCTGCACCGCAAGGTTATGACTAAAAGGAGCGGAGCCAGGTAATGAATCTACTTCAAAAGTTACGATACAGCAACCTGGCATTAGAATGCTAGATTATGACTTAAAGCTTCAGTTCACTGTAAAAACTAAGACCGCGAAGTTAGAATGCTCCATTTCACTTGCTCTAGCGCCATCTTCAGGAAAGGTGAGTGAGAAACAAGCCTTCGGGGAAAGTCATGCCGGAGGACGCTGAAATTTCGAGATGCGCGTTTGTGACAGTCAACTTAAAAAAAGTTAGCTCATGTATGTACACGGCGGGGTCTGAAACGCGGGAGCTCGCTCAAACCTAGGACAATGCCGGTGAAAGGCGATCGTTCAGTCCGCGCGACTCCCCTGGCATCGCGAACCTTCCTACAGGGAGGAGGTCAGGCCCGTCCGTCTGTCCGTCCGTGCAGCGCGTTCACAGGTGCATTCCTCAGTGTGAACGGCCACTCCAGGCCGCAGCCTGTCGCGGCCCCCCCCCCCCCCCCGCGCGCACGAGTGTGGCAGACAGCTTCGGGCTGCAGGGCGGAGGCCTCGGGGGCCACGTCTCTGTGTAACAGCCGGGCTCCTGCTCCTGGGAAGCCGATCCAAGAAAGCCGAGTTGTAACCTGCTGATTCGTTAAGAGAGATGCAAAGGGACGGGGTCAAGTCTGGCCTGCTGGGCAGTGGTGGCGAGGGCGCTGATGGCACAGCCGCAGTCCTTTGGTTCCAAGTGGAGATTGTCCAAGGGAGGAGGAGACGGCCCGTTCTACGAGGCAGCCGCGTCTTCGGGAAGCGGGGGCGCGAACTCGGTTGTTCCGTTGGTTTTTTACAAGGCGGTGGCGGAGACCGTCGTCGGGGCCCCCCCCACCCCCCCCCCCCCCCCCGCAGGGCGGGCATACCCAGTGTGCCCGGGAGTTTGCACGAAACCTTCCAATCAAGGCCTCTTCCGTTAAACCAAAACCAAAACCAAAACCAAAGCCAAGAACAGAACAAAACACGACGGGAGAGGAGACGATGCTGCGGAGCCATCTCGAGCGCCCCTGCTCTGCGTCCCGGCCTTAGTCGTTCTCCTCTCGCATTTCCACGACGTCCGTCCCCTCCTCTGCTGGCGGGATGTCCGTCATCGCCGAGTCCTCCCCCTCGGCCGCAGTCTCGTTCTCCATCTTCTTTTTCTAGACCCAAGAAGACGCGTCAGTGTGGGGCTGGGACAGGGCCCCGTCGCAGCAGAGCAGGGAGGGGCCGCCAGGGTCTCCGGGGCGGGGGTGTGGGGGCCCTCGCGGCAGACCTGGGTCTGGTTTATGGTGGGGTGACCTCACCGAGGCTGCATCTCCGGGTACTGGGGCGGGGGGGAGGGGAGGGGGGGCCGCTAGGAGCTTCGGGGAACCCCGTCTGCCCCCTCCCGGCCGCGAGCGGGAGCGCACCGTCAGCTGAGTGCAGCCCCTCCCCACGCCTCCTCCTTCCACCACCTGCCGACTGCTCTCCCTTCCGATGAGCTTGGGCTCCCCTGCTCTCGGAGTAGGCCAGCCCCGGGTCTGTGTCTGTCTCCTGCCCTGCTCGTCGCCTGTCCCAGTTCCTGGTGACTGCACTGCCCGCCTTGCAGTAAATGGCCTCTCCCCATGCCCTGACCTCTTCTCCTTGGGGATCAGGTTTTCCAGAGCCACCCTCCGCCATTCTCGGCTCCCTGGAGACCCTGTCTTTATTAACACCCTCCGCACCACTGGCCCGCCAGCTTCAAGGGCCTGGTCCTCCACCTCCTGCCACTGTCTGGCCCCTCCTTCCAGGACCCTGCCCCCACAACCCATGGGCCTTCTGGTCCCTTCTCGCCTCTTTCATCAGCTCAAATGAAACGCTCAACAATTATAGTCACTTCGGTGCCTCTCTCTGCTGTAACCTCACTTGCAGGCAAAACCCCCGACCTAGGTTGGGTCCAAATCTCTGCCAATGTCCGCCTTCATCACCCAGCTGCCGTGGCTGGGGGATCATACTGGTGAGCCTGGGACATCCATTCTTGGCCCCTTTCCCTCCTCTACCCAACCTTTCCCTGGCTAATCTCACTCTCCTGCTCCCTAAGTGGTCATAATCTTAGGACTCTGCCTTCAAACAGGTAACCCTGCAGGATAAACGAATTACCTGGTAACAGAGTACGTTGTGTGTGTGTGTGTGTGTGTGTGTGTGTGTGTGTGGTGGGCAGCTAGGAAGACTTTCCTGTGGCATGTTATCTCAGGTTGAAGAGGGGAAGGGATTTGCAGAGGCAGAGAGTGGGGAGATCACCCAACATTTTCTAGACTTTCACAGTGATCAAGTCGTAGTTTGTAAGGATTCAGAGGACGGATCGGTCGCAAAGGGAATCACCTTTTCGGCATTTTCCTGTGTGGTCAAAGCATTATTTAGTTTCTACAAGGTTTAGTTCTCTAGAGGCAGCACTAGGATGCAGGATTGTGTCCTCAATGTCCCTCCTGAGCAGGACGGCTGCCTTTTGAAACAAGGCAGGTTTAAGGAATCCTCTACATGATAGCATCATAAGGTATCCCCTTGTTGTTGAACCTGACCCAGGGCTGACATACTCTGGCCATGAGGTTCACCCACACGGGAGGGGCCTGGGAGTTCTGGTGAGCAGTGTGGACCCAGTGGAGGGAGGGGATGAACGTGGGGTGCCACCACCTTGCCGCCTCCTGCTGCGGGCCCTTGGGAGCCGCTCGGATCTCCCTACACCTCGGGAGGCTTCGCGGCCAGCTCACCTGTTTCCGATAGACGTAGCACGCTGCTATGGCAACCATGGTGGATTCTCCCACAAACCCCGCCAGGAGGGAGCCCACGCCCAGGGTGGCTCCGTGTACCCTGGGGATGAGAACACAAAGGCCATCTGTCCGTTGAAGCCGTGCTGAGGCACACATAGAGTGGAGACCCAGTGGAGAGCAGACGAGACAGGAACCAACTGCACTTGAGATCCGCCGGTAAGGGCTGCACCTAGTAAGTGGCCCGCCTGTGGGAGGGCACCTGGAGCCCTGAGGCGAGCCACCCCCCCCCCCCCAAGGTCTTGGCTCCACATCTGCTGGCTGGGCCACGGGCCACGTCCCCCTTGCTCGTGAGCCCACAGCCCTTCCTGCCCTTGTCTCCACACAGAGACGGGGACTCTGAGGGTGGGGGGTGACGACTCCCTTCCTCCCTCTTGTTATTCCCCTTCTGCCTGCCACCCGCAGCAGGTGCTCAGTGAGTAGTGTGAATGGGCCTGACCCCGGAAGTATTCTTCTAGAAAGGAGCTGAGCAGCCTCCCACCTACTGGCTCGGCAGAGAAAGAGGGTATCGCTCTGCATTTCCAGCTCTAGATGTGCTCGGGGGGATGCCACGTGAAAATGCAGACGTACTTAGGTGGCAGAAGGACCCGCAGGACCCCCCCCCGACAGCATACCCCAGGTAGGGCAGGACCACGAGGCTGGTGATGAGGACGATGATCCGCAGCACAGAGCTGGGGGCCAGGACAAAGGTCTTCTTCAGAGTCATCAGCCAACCGGTGAGATGGGCCCTCACAGTGACTGTGGGGACAGCAAAGGAC